TATGTATACATCATTTCTAAAGTCTGCCAATTATTTTATTACATGGTTATACAATAATAATGATACCTCTTTTGTGAAGTCATTGCTCTAAAAGTTATGCATGAATTATCTTATTTAGTTTTCCCCTAGGGGCTGGTCGGTAGGTCTGTTGCTCAGTGCAGTGTTCTAACACCGAGGTTGAGGGTGCATATCCCCATACCAACCAGCCACTCCCCCTGCAAAAAAAAAATTCCCAATAATCCAATAAAATAAGTATTACTCTATTTTGCTTAATGTAGAACTAGCACATCATTGAAAAAGAACTTCATATTTGCAGAAAGATACGAGAATACTTAAGTGAACTCTTATATATCCTTACCTAGATTCCATAGTCGATAACACTGTGTTACATTTGATTGTATACACTGACGTACACATACACGCAAACACATATTAGTGTTGATTTAATATTTTTTCTTTCTGGACCATNTCTCTTGTTATTTTTTGTGTCTGCTTCCAAATAAGCTTTATAGTCAATTTGTCTAGTTTTAAGAAAAATTTAATGATATTTTTATGGGTTGCATTTAATTTAATTAATAAATTAACTAAAAATGAACTGACATCTTTATGGTATTGAGTCTTCATAACCAATAACATGGTTTTTCTTTCCATTTGTCCAATTTGCTTTTTTGTCCTTCAAGAGTGTTTTATAGTTTTTCTCATATTTCTTTTTTTTAAAAAAGTCATTATACGATATATAAAAAAAATCAGCCCCACACAAAATCAATTTGTATACCTTCCAGAGCTTTCCTTTATGCTTACAATATCATAATTTCTTGATAATTTACTTATCTTTCCAATGACAGCAGTATGTATACATCATTTCTAAAGTCTGCCAATTATTTTATTACATGGTTATACAATAATAATAATACCTCTTTTGTGAAGTCATTGCTCTAAAAGTTATGCATGAATTATCTTATTTAGTTTTCCCCTAGGGGCTGGTTGGTAGGTCTGTTGCTCAGTGCAGTGTTCTAACACCGAGGTTGAGGGTGCATATCCCCATAC